GGCTGAGGCGGGTGAATCACTTGAGGCCAGAAGATCGAGACAGCCTGGCTAACGTGGTGAAGCCTGGTATCTACTAAAACTACAGAAAATGAGCTAGGCCTGGTGGTGTGCGCCTGTAATCCCATCCACCCAGGAGACTGAGGTGCAAGAATCGCTTGAACCTGGGAGGTGGAGGTTGCAGTGAGCCGAGATCCCACTACTGCTCTCCTGCCTGGGCGACAGAGCAAGACTCTGTCTCAAAATACATACATACATACATACACACACACACAAACAAATAAAAATTTTAGAGATCATAAGTAGGGAGAAGATAATGCTGTCCTCCATCTCCCAAGTATAAAATAAAAGTCCATTCTATACGGTAAATTAAGTGTAGGAAAATCCAACAAGTTTCTAATTTTTTCTAAGATTACTATTTTGATGCATTTTTAAGAGAAAATATGAAAAAGGCTTTTTCTAATATTCTTCTCTTTTTAAAGGCATTTTAAGAACTTATAGCAAAAGGTCAAATAATAATAGCATCTATAGCTAGCAAGTTACTGATGCATGACTATTCCAGGCACTGTGATAAATCCCTTACATAGATTATGTCATGGAACGCTCCCAGCAGCCTACAGGAAAGATACTATCATTACTGCTAAAATTACCATTGTTATTATTCACTTGAAATATTCGAGCTTAGAGAGATTAATGAATGTATCCATGGTCACCCAGCTAAAATGTGATTGAGCTGGGATTGACTGGGCACTGATTGATGATGGGGTCTGAAGTCCTTGCCTCAACATCACACTGCCACAAAGTCTTAGAATATGCCAAGTTGCCTGTGCATGGTGGTCCACGCCCTGTACTCCCAGCACTTTGGGAGGCTGAGGCAGATGGATCACAAGGTCAGGAGTTCAAGACCAGCCTGTCCAATATGGTGAAACTCTGTCTCTACTAAAAATACAAAAATGAGCTGGGTTTGGTGGCGTGTGCCAGTAATCCCAGCTACTCGGGAGGCTGAGGCAGAAGAATCGCTTGAACCTGGGAGGCAGTGAGCTGATATTGTGCCGCTGCACTCCAGCCTGGGTGACAGAGCAAGACTCTGTCTCATGAAGAAAGAAAGAAGGAAAGAGAAAGAAAGAAAGGAAAGAGAGGAAGGAAGGAGGAAAGAAAGAAAGAAAGAGAAAGAGAGGAAGGGAGGGAGGGAGGGAGGGAGGAGAGAAGGGAATATGCCAAAGTAGTTGTGTCGGCAAGGCTCTTTGTTCTTTGCAGTGCTCCTTAATCCTCAGATTTCTTCATTTATTCAGTTAGTATTAATCAGGTACCTGTATGTGCCCACACTGTGGTAGGCATTGAAGATACAGAGTGAATGTTACAGAAGTGATCCATACCTCATGGAGTTATTGATATGAGGAAGTGCCAATGGAGTTTGAGAATTTGGGAAACCCTCTCTGAAGAAATGAGGATTATAGTGAGATCTGAAGGATAAGCTGAATGACCTAAGTGAGCTGGAGAGGAGAGTTTCATACGAGGTAAATACCAAGGTGAGGTGATACACAAATGTCAAGCTCAGATCCCCTTTTAAGGAAGGACTTGATTCCCCTGGAGCTAGCAGTGCCAGCCCCTTCGACCATTGCCTCAGCTGCAGGGAGACATGTTACCCAAGCTCACACCCTTCCATCATTTGTGTGCCACCTCTAATGAGCCCCTTCAGCTTCAGAGCACTGTGTCTTGTTGGCTGAGGCTGTCAGGCTTGCGTCTCAGCTTGATTTCTCCCTATTCCCAATTCTGCTTCCGCCTCCTCCCTTCCCTGGGTGTTGACTCAAGAGCACTCTTTAATAAACATCCTGAACTCTAAATTCTGCCTCAGAGTGTGCTTCCTGGAGAATGCAATGTGCATTACAGCATGAAAAGCCTTGATGAGTAAGATGCTGAGAAGCATCCAGAATGGCTGTGGATTGTGTGGGAAATGGTGAGATGAGCCCAGGCCAAAAAGGAAGACATGGGTCAAATCATGAAGTACCTGGTAAACCATGTTGAGGATTTTCCTAAAAACAGTGGCCAGTAGAAAGCCACTGTTGATTTTTAAACAGGAATGACATATCAGATTTGCAGTTGTGAAATATCACTTCGGGCCCAGTACGGTGGCTCACACATGTAGTCTTAGCAGTTTGGGAGGCTGAGGCAAGCAGATTGCTTGAGCTCAGTAGTTCAAATCCAGCCTGGGCAACATGGCAAAACCCCTCTACAAAAAAATGTAAAAATTAGCCAGGTGGTAGCACGCGCCTGTAGTCCCAACTACTCGGGAAATTGAGGTGGGAGAATCACTTGAACCGTGGAAGGTCGAGGTTGCAGTAAGCTGTGTTTGTGCCAATGTACTTTAGCTTGAACAACATAGTGAGGCCTTGCCTCAAAAAGAAAGAAGGGAGGAAGAAAGAGAGAGAAAGACAAAGAAAGAAAGGGAGGGAGGGAGGGAAAGAAGCGAAGGGGAAGGAAAGGAAGAAGAAATATCACTTTGGGTGCAGTGCAGGGGTTCTTTCAAAAATCATTTTCCCCATCGCTTCTCGGCCTTTTGGCTAAGATCAAGTGAAAATCATTTTCCTTCTTCTAGATATTAATGGTAAACAAAAAATACCAAACTGTCTTTCCTGTCTGTGAATCATTGCTTTTCATTCCCTTTCACCTTATCAGTAAAAGCTACTAAATCTGCTCCAATGTTTATGCAATACAGTCATGTAAGGTATCTAGCAGTAGCTTCTTGAGAGACCATAGGAAATAGTGTTACGTGTGGACTTGGCAAGTTCTCTCATCTATGGTGATGAAAGCAAACTGTTCTGTGTTGCTGGAAAAGCTTAAGGTGATAAGTCACTAAAGACATGACCTCGAGATACAACATCAAAAGAAAGACTTCCTGCCTATTGGACATCTCTGGTTCTGCTTTCTTATGTTTATTCTTCACCTTAATTCCCAGATATCTGTAACATATAGTAATTATGTTAGCACAGTTCGTTTGGACAGGAATAATTCCACAGTCAAGATTAGATTTTTTAAAGCTTTGTTGCAGTGCAATTGACGTACTACAACTGTATATATGTAAAGTGTACAGTATATAACGTACACACATTTGTGAACTCATCATTAACAGTCAAGATAACAAATATTTCTGGCACCCCAAAAGTTTCATTGTCTCTTTTGTCATCTCTCTCCTTTCTTTTCTCTCTCTCTCTCTCTTGCTGTCTTCCTTTCCTTCTCTCCCTGGCAGCCACTGATGTACTTTCTCTCATTATAATTATTTTGCATTGTCTTTAATTTTATGTAAGTGTAATCAGGCAACATCCATTCCTTTTTGCCTGGCTTCCTCCACTCAGCATAATTACTTTGAAAATTAGATGTAAAATGTTTAACTAAATTTTATTCTATATAAGTCATCAGACTTGCTACACATAAAACACTTTGTATTTATTTATACAACATTTTATGCATTATAAGTACCACTAGTAGAAGTGATGCTCAACTTTTTAAGTATAATTATTCACTGTGCCTCAGATTGAAAATTTTGATCTAGCAATCAAAGTAATTTTCCTTTGAACTCATAAACCAAAACACACGATCTGTGACGTTTCCTAGGAAGTCTGTATTTGAGGAAACTAAATAAGGCATTTTATAAAAGACTCTCCTCTCGCAGAAAAATGTGGCCAAATAACCTAGAAAACTGGCAGCTGAAGAGCAGCTGTTAGGAGGTATGGAAGATAGAGGACACAGGGTGATCTACTGCACTTCTTTAAGATAATCAATCTGGAGGCTGCTCCTTCAACACAAATACACATATGCGCCCACACAAATACCCACATGCATATATAAACAATACTACCCATTTTTCTTCCATAAATTGCTTTTAGCTCAGCTTAGTTCACCAATTGTTTTATATTACCATTTTAATTTTCTTATATCTCTAAAAAGGATAAAAACTAAAGATAGTTTTAAAAATATCATTATATCCAAACCTTGACACTATTTAATTCTACCTGTCAAATGCAAAACTTAGAATAGGTCATGAAATAACCTCTTTTAACTTTTTAAAAATATTTTTTTCACATACATTACCAAGATCTATACTTAGGCACTCAGTGTATGTTTCTCAAATGAATGAAACAAAGCTTTCTGCTCTCTGACTGCCTTTTCTCTGATACCATGTCTCCTTACTTAGGCTTACCTGAGAAGCCAGTGTTACCACTTCCTTCAAGAGAGCATACTCTTATTCTGATGGTAACGTTTGTAAAGTTCACTAATATGTTTTTATTTTCTAATAGGTGTGTCTTTATGTTTTAATCTTTTATTTTATTCCATGTAGCTTAGGTCATTTTATATTGGTGTGGAGAAAGCATGGGTGACTATTTTCTACTTCTTAGTTTCTGGCTTACTGTTTTGCACATTAACTAACACAGCTAGGAAAGGATGCCTTTTACAGACCCGTAGGACCTAGCACTACATACTTGGTAAGTTCAGAGTGGATTAAACCTCATGCATATTATTTGCCAGTTAAGGTAACATAATCTTTATAAATTTTACATTGCACCTTCACTAACCAGAAACCATTGTTTTCTTTGATATGTATTAATTCCATCCCGTACATCACAAGAATGGAATCTTGTTATCTTGTGCTGGCTGGGAATTTTATGGCAGCAGGGAGGTTTGTATGGGTTATAGCTCAAGTTTTCTTTTACTTGTCAAATGTTTTGTCTGGTTTTCATACTTCTGACAATGTTTTTAAAGATCCTTTTTGTACATTTTAACTTGGATCTGATAATTTTTCAAATAATTTTTTAAAATGTAATTCTTCAGCTCAGTAACCAGACAACCCCATTTATGTTTTACCTCTGAGTGTTGCACCTACCTAAATTTGCATCTATTTGAAAAATAGTCTAAGATCCTTTGAAATTCTAGTGTGAAAAATAGTCATATAGTCATAGTAACATGAACTTTGGTTTCTATATAAATATGTATATCATTTGACTTACCTAAACAGAATGTGAACAGTACTGATTTTCTTCTAGAGGCTTTAACACTAATTTTATTTGTGAAAAAAGAAATTAAAGGAAAGAAAATTGAAAAAGTTCATCTTGGGATTTCCTCTTGTATTTTCCTCATAGTTTGTACCTAAGAAACAATAAAATTTAGTTTTAAGAAATGGTAACAACAGAGTATAATCTTTAAATATCAGTTAAACCAAGGTAACTACATGGCTCATGTCAGTTTAAAAAACTATGTCTCAAAAGGGAATCCTGTCTGATTCTTTCTTTCTCTCCTTTCTCTCTTCTTTCTTATATGGTCTGGCTTCTTTGTGTTCCTCACACAAATCTCATCTTGAATTGTAATCCCCAAGTGTTGAGGGGGAGACCTGGTGGGAAGTGATTGGATTATGGGGGTGGTATCCCCCATGCTGTTCTTGTGATAGTGAGTACATTCTTACAAGATCTGATGGTCTTACATATAGTAGTTTTTCCTGTGCTCACACACCATCTCTCTCACCTGCCGCCACGTAAGATATGCCTGCTTCTCTTTCTGCCATGATTGTACGTTTCCTGAGGCCTCCCAAGCCACATGGAACTGCGAGTCAATTAAACCTTTTTTCTTTATAAATTACCCAGTATCGGGCAGTTCTTTATAGCAATGTGAGAACAGACTAATTCTTTCTTTCTTCCTTTCTTTCTCTCCCTCCCTGTTCCTCCCTCCCTCCCTCCTCTTTCTCTTTCCCTCCCTTCCTTCCTCCTTCTCTCCCTCCTTCCTTCCTCTTTCTTTCTTTTTTCTTTTCTTTCTTTCTTTTCCTCTTTCTTTCTTCTTGGTGAAGGTCTTCCCCTGTACCCAGGCTGGAAGTGCAGTGATGCAATCATAGTTCACTGCAATTTTGAACTCCTGGGCTCAAGAGATCCTCCCACCTCAGCCTCCCGAGTAGCTGGGACTACAGGCACATGCCACTGCACCCAGCAAGTTTTTTGTTTGTTGTTGTTGTTGTTATTGTAGAGATGCAATCTTGCTATGTTGCCAAGGCTTGTCTCCAACTCCTGGCCTCAAGTGATCCTCCTGCCTTGGTCTCACAAGGTGAGTGCCGGGATTACATGTATGAGCCACCACACCCAGCTCTATCTGAATTTTTTATTCATACCAACCCCTGCAAAAGTCCTAAGGCAAATTGTTGGCTCTTCTTATTCCACCACACTATACAGATGGGCTACAGAAGAGCACCAGCACCCTTTCAGGGTTGTCCCCTAAGTCCACATGCCCAGCTCTTTAGTCCTCCCATTTAATCCTTTTTCATTGCACCATATGCCTTATTATTGATTTGAATAATAAATAAAATGTTGATATTTCTACTGCTAAGTTAGTACTGTGTCCATAAACTGAATTTCCCAGCTTTGCTTGGAACATGGTGCTCACTAGAGGAATGGAAATTCAGTTTAAAACAATAAATAGGGAAAGCAGAAAGAGTAAACAAGACGTGGAAGGGTGAGGCTTACTCTGATGAGTGACTAAGTAGGCAGCTTCCTGTGAGCCTTTTAAAGAATGATTTTTTTTTAATGTTCTGCTCTATTAGTTCGTAGCTGGAAAGCAGATCAACTTGAAAAGATGCTGGAAGTTAGGTAGAACACAGATATATAGGGTTTAATTTTTAAATGTAAAAGAGACTATGTTATTCAAATAATCACGGTCTCTAAAATGGTTCATCTTCTTTTTTGTTGTTTTGTTTTTGGGTTTTTTTTGAGACAGAGTTTCACCTCTGTCACCCAGCCAGAGTACAGTGGCATGATCTTGGCTCACTGCAACCTCCGCCCCCTGGGTTCAAGCAATTCTCCTGTCTCAGCCTCCTGAGCAGCTGGGTCTACAGGCGCCCACCACCACTCTCAGCTAATTTTTGTATTTTTAGTAAAGATGGGGTTTCACTATATTGGTCATCCTGGCAAAATGGGTCATCTTCTGTTACATTTTATTTTATTTATTGTTTCTTTTTCAGTATTCAAAACAACTCTGTTACATTTTAATAAGCAACTGATATTCATATTCATATAGATTCCTAATCTAGAAATTGGATCCTTAAGCTAGATCCTTTATGCATTGAATAAAATATAAATTAATTTTCTTCATTAAGTGTCATGTAAACTTATAACACAATAACACCTATCACAACTTTTAAATATCAAATGGGCTTTCAATGCTCAGCACCACTGAGAAACTTGCTGTTGCCCTGTGTCTATCAGTGTTTTTGCTCTAAGTTAAATGTACATTCTACAACAACAAACCACAGTTTTTTTTTTCTTTTTTGAGACAGGGTCTTGTTCTGTTGCCCAGGCTGGAGTTCAGTGACAGTAAGCATAGTTCACTGCAGCCTCAACCTTGGGGCTCAAGTGATCCTCCTACCTCAGCCTTCCAAGTAGCTGGGACTACAGGTGTGCACCACCACACCAAGCTAATTTCTTTTATTTTTTGTAGAGATGAGGTCTCATTATGTTGCCCGGGCTGGTCTTGAACTCCTGGACTCAAGCTATCCTCCCGACTCAGTCTCCCAAAGTGCTGGGATTTCTGGCATGAGCCACCACGCCCAGCCACAAACTACAGTTTACTCTTTTCGTTTTATTTACATTCCCAACTAAGTGCTATGTACAAAACTGATGCTTAATAAATACTTGATTGATTGAGTTCTGTGAATGTGTCAGATGTCTATAGAAGTAGCCATGTTATAAAAGTAGCCATGGTTAGAAGTTCATGCTTAAAGGAAAGAGCATGGGAAGTTTAAATGAATCCTTGCTCAGAAACATACAAGCAATGTGACCCTGAGGAAGTTACTTAACTTCTCTGAGCTTCAGTCTTCTTAATAAAATGAGATATCATCTCACGCCAGTTAGAATGGTGATCATTAAAAAGTCAGGAAATGGGAGATGCTGGAGAGGATGTGGAGGAATAGTAACACTTTTACACTGTTGATGGGAGTGTAAATTAGTTCAACCATTGTGGAAGACAGTGTGGCAATTCCTCAAGGACATGGAACGAAAAATACCATTTGACCCAGCAATCTCATTACTGGGTATATGCCCAAAGGATTATGAATCATTCCACTATAAAGACACATGCACACATATGTTTATTGCAAACTGTTCACAATAGCAAGGACTTGAAATCAACCTAAATGCCCATCAATGATAGACTGGATAAAGAAAATGTGATGTATATACACCACGGAATACTATGCAGCCATAAAAAAGGATGAGTTCATGTCCTTTGCAGGGATGTGGATGAAGCTGGAAACCGTCATTCTCAGCAAACTAACATAGGAACAGAAAACCAAACACCACATGTTCTCACTCATAAGTGGGAGTTGAACAATGAGAATACATGGACACAGTGACAGGAACATCACACACTGGGGCCTGTCAGGGAATGGGGGGCTAGGGGAGGGATAGCATTAAGACAAATAGCTAATGTAGATGATGTATTGATGGGTACAGAAAACCACCATGGCACATGTATACCTATGCAACAAACCTGCACATTCTACACACGTATCCCAGAAATTAAAATGCAATTTAAAAAATACAAAAATGAGGATAATAATAATTGCCTTAGCATTTTGCAAAAATTAGACATAAATGATTTAAAGTGGCTGGCATGGGGCTGGCCCACAGCCCGAAATTCGTGATGCTACTCCCACTTGACAGATGAAGAGGACAGGGATTGTTATTGAAGTAATTCAAACATGGTCACACATCCATTAAATGCCAGAGCCAGAGTTCAACACCAGCTTTATCAGACCCTCAATCCAGTATGTAACAGTTCCTATATTGTGATCACTTTTTGGAAAGGTCATGTCCAGGGTAGATAAGGAACAAGAGGGCACTAAATGAAGGCAGCTAACAAATGAGGAGAGTGCCTTTCACACTTTGTGATCACGACCCACAGCATTACATTGTAAACCCTGAATACACACAACTATACAAAACTATAAGTTCTGGGATGACTATACAAAACTGGAAGTGTTCAGGGTTTACAGTGTAATGCTGTAGGGTCATGATCACAAAGCTTACTGTACATGTTGTAGTCAGATATCTATTTTCTATTGTATTTCACATTTTAAAAATTCTGAAGCAGGCTGGATGGTGGGGGCCAAGGGAGGTGTTGAGATGTATGGGTCATTTAACAACCTCAGTCGCAGGCTACCAAGCAGAGCTCTCTGCAATCTCTGCAGCCTCTGTCTCCTCGTCTGGTTGCAGGCTTTGCCCTGGTGGCCTCACTCAGTTGCAGGGAGCTGAGGACTGGTTCTTGCATGGCCACAGGTATTAGGTCAGTCTAGAGCATCAGGATTCACAGGCCACATAGGTCAAGAGACAGGAAGAGAGGGCCCTGGCTGCTGGGAGTAGGTGCCTTTCATGTGGGTACCTGTTTGCCTGGCCCTTCATGAAACTGAGATAAATGGAAGAGCAGAGCCACAAAGGAGGTAACTCAGGCAAATGGTCAGAATAGTGCAGGCACAAGAGTCAGATTAAAGGGCCAGACAGATGAGGAAGATGAAGTTTGGCTGTCTCTTTTTCCTGAAGCCTACTTTGGTTTTATCTTAAGCCAAGTCAAGACTTTACAGGCTCCTTGTCATTCTTCACTAGTGAGTCACGGGAACTGTCATGAGACACATTGCTGCACACATTGCTGCTCACAAGGACTGGGAAGATGGACCTGGGGAGAACGGCTGATGAAGGGGCTTGGAACAGCTCCAGTTCAAATTTGGAAGTGGTTTTGGAAAGCTGAAAGATTAGAGGTGGAGAGTAATTACTGGGCTCGTTGGCATTGGGGAAATGTCAGTGTCCAGAGAACTTAACTCCTGATAAAATCATGGAACTGAGAAATTAAACTGTGTGACCAATCCTAAACAAGAGTACTGTATTGACCATATTGCTATTTCACATCCAAGGTAGATATATTGCTAGAGCCAATATGTTGAAAAGAAGAAAAGATATAGTCCAAGTAGACATCTCAGGGGAGCAAACATCTTTGGGGCAGGAGACATGGGGAGTATGGACAACCTAGAGCAGTATTACAGAGAAACAAACTCTGTAAATTGTCTCTCACAATCACAACGTGTAGATAGCAAATAGTATTAAAATTAAATGACCACTGCATTTGATAATGCTATTCACTAAGTGATACAAAAAACATTTATTTGCTTAGGTTAAAAGTGTATGGGGGTGGGGCACTTCTTAGTCAGATAGGTCTTTATATTCATTGGAAATATCTTGAGTATTTTGACCTTTACAATAAAGGGGAAGCTGCCAGTAACTTCTCATTTTGATCCTGCTAATTTCTGGGTTACATATGTAAATTAAAAAAAAATTTTAAAGCTTGTTTCATGACATCTGTTCAGTGACAGAAAGAAACAGAAACAAAAGGCTTGTTATGGTTTTCTAAATTGATTTGACTCCTCACTAATGAATTATAACCCATTTTGAAAAACTCTAGGCTGGGAGCAGTGGTTCACACCTGTAATTCCAGCACTTTGGGAGGCTGAGGTGGGAGGATCACGAGGTCAGGAAATTGAGACTATTCTAGCCAACATGGCCCAACTCTATTAAAATACAAAACATTAGCTGGGCATGGTGGTGCACACCTGTAGTCCCAGCTAGTTGGGAGGCTGAGGCAGGAGAATCACTTGAACCCAGGAGGTGGAGGTTGCAGTGAGCCGAGATCGCACCACTGCACTCCAGTCTGGCGACAGAGCAAGCCTCCATCTAAAAAAAAAAAAAAAAAAGAAAGAAAAACTCTTAATTGGGAGATTGTTCTAGTAATCCATGTAAGAGACGTTGGTAACAGAACTAAAATAGTGGCAGTGGAAATGAGAGAAATAGATGTGACAATTTTTTGAGAAGTAGAATCAACATGTCCTTATGATTGTTTGAAGGGAACAGACACAGTGAGAAGGTTTCAGGCTGGGATAACCGGTTACCATTCTACAGATAGGGAGCACTGGGGGAACAGCAGTTCCAATGGAGAATGGATTCTATTTGTGATGCCTAGGGCCATCCAGATGAAGATGTCTTGTAAGCAGTTAAAAGTGTGAGTTGGGCTGGGCGCGGTAGCTCACGCCTGTAATCCCAGCACTTTGGGAGGCCGAGGCGGGTGGATCACGAGGTCAACAGATCGAGACCATCCTGGTCAACATGGTGAAACCCTGTCTCTACTCAAAATACAAAAAATTAGCTGGGCAAGGTGGCACGTGCCTGTAATCCCAGATACTCAGGAGGCTGAGGCAGGAGAATTGCCTGAACCCAGGAGGCGGAGGTTGCGGTGAGCTGAGATGGCGCCATTGCACTCCAGCCTGGGTAACAAGAGCGAAATTCCGTCTCAAAAAAAAAAAAAAAAGTGTGAGTTGGAGAAAAGGAGAGGCGTCTGGGTTGGAGATACAGAGTCATCAGCATGCAGATGGTGTTTGAAGTCATGGCAACGGATGAGACTACCTGGAGAACCAGTAGGGAAGCTGAGGCAAGGGTAGCTGGGGATTCACGGCAGGAAAGGCAGAGGGAGGGGAAGACAGGAGACAGACAGACTCCAGAAAGGTAGAAGGGAGAAGGGAGAAGGGAAGAGCCTTTGAAGAATGCTTTTAGTTATGTGTTCTCATGATATCGTGCACTGCTGATAGCACTGAATCACGGTAGAGCATGGATGGAAGAAGGTGAGCAGCAAAGCGTACGAAAGAGTGCCGGCACTGCAGTAGGAGGCAGTCCGCAGTCAGCCTTCCCCTCTGCAGGTGGGTTTCTTCCCTACAATATGAGAGCTTTGGTTAAATGATCTCTGTGGCATTTAATTTGAAGCAGAGGGTAGATGGGTGGAGAATATGGGAAGATATGAAAACTAATCCATTCACTCATTTATTCAACAAATATTTATGAGAACCTATGATGTTTACGTACTGTCTTAGTCACGAGGACATAATGAAGAACCAGACCTACTGCAAAACCTGACACAGTAGTGGGGGACACAGACCATAAACAACTAAACAATTTAAATAGGGTGTATTCTCAGGTACTGATAAGAACGCTGAAGAAAAAGAAAGTGGGTAATAGGGTAATCTGGGCAGACTTCTTTCTGCGTCTGTGTGAGGACATGTTGTAGTAATCCATGTAAGAGATGTTGGTAGCAGAACTGAAGTAGTAGCAGTGGAAGGCTACTGCTCTACTCTGTGAGGACCAAAGGAAGTGAGGGTGCATTAATGCCAGGGGCTTACTGAAGAAACTTCCTGGAGAGGGAGACCCGTGTCCAGGTCTGCAGAGGAATGACTAGGCATATCCGAGAAACAGTAGAAAGGGCAAGGTTAAGTAAAGGCAATGCAAAGGGAGAGCTACAGATGATGACTAAGAATCTAAACCGGACCAGGGGCCACAGATTTCTTTTGCAACTAGGAAGCTATTGAAGGGTTTTGAGCAGGTGAATGGCTTAATGATTTCTGTTTTTCAAAGCTCACGCTGGTAGTTGTGTGGACCATAGATGGCAAAAATAAAAGCAGGGAAACATGGTAGAGATCAATGATTTTAGTATGCCTGGTAAGACAAAATGAGGGTGGGATTAAAATGGCAGGTTGAGAGCTAGTACCAAGTAACCTTAACTGAGCACCTCCTATATCCAGGCTTAATTCCAAGTACTTTATATGTGTCAGTATTATTTCTACAAACAACCCTGTGAAGTAGGTGCGATCATTATCTACATTTTACACATGAAGAAAATGAAGCCGAGAGGTGAAGTCACTTGGCCAGGATTACACAGCTAGTAAGTTTAGAGCCAGATTTCAAACTTAGTCAGTCTGCCTCCTGAGCTTGCCTGCTTAATCTTTCATCTAGACAGAAATCAGCATAGAATTTGAAGATATAGCTGACAGATCTTGATGGATTTAATGTTGAGTATGAAGGAGAGGACAAGAATCAAGGAAGACTCCCCGGACTTTGTCACGAGCAACTGTGTGATATTTATTAAGATGAACACTAAACAGGAGAGCAGGAATCAAAAATTCTGCTTTGTCTTGACACAGTCTTGCACCTGTGATCCCAACACTTTGGGAGGCTGAGGCAGAAGGATTGGCTCAGGAGTTCAAGAACAGCCTGACCAACATAGTGAGACTTTGTCTGTACTGAAAGTTTGAAAAATTAGACAAGCATGGTGACCCATGCCTGTAGTCTCAGCTACTGGGAAGAATGAAATGGAAGGATTGTTTGTGCCCAGTAGATGGAGGCTGCAGTGAGTTACAATCACGCCATCGCACTTTAGCCTGGGCAATAGAGCAAGGCCCTGTCTCAAAAAAAAAAGAGAAAAGAAAGAAAAGAAATTCTCCTTAGAACATACTGAGTTCAAGACGTCACATTGACATAGACAGGTAGAGGCATTTAGGAGACACTCGAAGAGCTTTCTTACTTGACAACAGATGGCTCTGTTTAAATATAAAGAAGAAACAATATAGCATTATGTTAGCATGCTGCTGAAATCAACCTTTATCAGCCTCTCCCCAGATTCTTAGTAAAATGAAGTTCCCATTTGGAGAATTGAGCGGAATGATTTGCTAATATAACCACAGCAAAATACCCAAGCCAGCCAAGTTCTCACTTTTATCAGCAGCCAGTCAGTGAGCAAAGATTTTTAATAAGAAGCTCCCAGAAATCTCATTACCTCAGACCTCAGACAGGAGCCCCACATACCTGCACCCGTTAACCTTCACGGAAGGCAAGTTCTCCCAGGTAGAGGATGAAAGTCGCCGTTGATATTGCCACCCTAGTGCCCCTGCCTCACCGCTGCTCGGACCACTGCTTAGGTCACTGGACCTTGCTTGCATGACACAGAAGATTGCACAATCCCAAACCTGCTCTGACTTTCAAAACACTGTCCCCTTGTCCCCACTGCCTCCTACTTCGGTATTTGACTTTTTACTTCATCTGACCTCAGGTGATTCAACCTCTTTAGGCAAACTTAAGGTTCACTCACCTAGCCTTGCCTGACCAAACTTGCCTGCTACTACCCGTGCTGAACCTGATGTCTTGGAGCACTTTGTATGAGACCCTGTGCTGGGAACACTCTCTACAGTGACTACGTGGTGGTCACACAGGTGTAGACATGTTTAGCACTCATCAAACTAGACATGTAGATAGCTCAACTTAAAAATACCTCCGTTTTTTTAAAAAGATATTATGCTAGATGCTTTTCAAATAATTTTTTCCCCTCAAGAAGCTTACAATCCGAAGAAGGCATGATATAGAACAATAGCAGGCAATATCTAAGTGCCAAGCAAATAACCCCAAAACAAAGGCTATGGTAATTGGATTGTAAAGGAAAACTTCACAGAGAACATGGTGCTGATTTAAACATTAGAATATAGTAGACTGTAAAAGCAAAAAGAGAGAGACACTTGTTATTTTGCTACATTAAATATGGTTGTGCGCTCCTCTCTTGCAATACTCTTTTCCTTGGATCCATCCGTGACATGACCCTTATTATCCTCTTGCTTCTCTGGGTGATCTCTCAGTAGGCAAGGGAAATGGCACAAGGCAAGGTGTAAGTATGGGAATCAAAAGAAATCATAGGAGACAGTTAGTAAAACAGCCTGGGTTTGTTTTCAGAAACTGGAAATTAACATTGGGAGAGATCCATTTATTGAGGATCTTCATGCCAGGATAAGAAGTTTGGAAAGTATGGTTTGGGTAGTACAATATTGTAAGGAGGTATCGAAGTGGTTGAGCAGAAGAATGTTCTCTGCCTTTTAAAGGAAATTGATCCCCTCCTATAGTCACTGAAGAATCACTGGCCGATGTGGCTCAGCTGGAGACAAGCCTTCTGCATATTCTCTAACAAAGCCTTTGGGAACAGGAGCCAAAGAAAAATGTCCCATCTCTGGGTATTTAGCTTTTCATGCAGACTTGGCCTTGTTTTCATTTTGCCCCAGACCCTTTTCTGTCTTTACTCTGAGCTCTATTTCAGCAGTAATTTTACATTTTATTTTATTTATTTATTTTTGAGACAGTCTTGCTTTGTCACCCAGGCTGGAGTGCAGTGGTGCAGTCATGTCTCACTGCAGTCTCGACATGCCAGGCTCAAGTGATCCTCTCACCTCAGCCCCCACCAGGAGCTGGAACTGCAGACACCCACCACCATGCCTGCCTACCTTTTTATATATTTTGTAAAGATGGGGTTTCACTCTGTTGCCCAGGCTGGTCTCAAACTCCTGAACTCAAGCCGTCCACCCATGTCAGCCTCCCAGAGCGCTGGGATTACAGGCATGTGCTACCACACCCAGCCTACAATTTCTTCTTGACTTTAACCAGTCTTTAAAATGTATAGGGACCTGTGTTAAGTGCTCTGAAGGCTCACCTACTATTCTAACAGTTTTTTCTAAAGAATTCTGGTGACAGAGAAGGAATCAACCTCTTTAGTCCTTATTCTCTTTAATTATTTTGCTACATTAAATATTGTTGAGCTCTCCTTTTTTGCAGGATTCTTTTCCTTGGACTCATCCACGGTGTGACTCTCATTATTCTCTTTCGTCTCTACGTGATCTCTGTCTCTTACCAGTTTTTCCAGTCTTCTAGCATCTCAAAGTAAACAGTTCCTCGAGACTCCATTGTTACCCTTCTCTTCCACATTTTCTACGATGCAATGTTATCCACAACAACATTTTCAACTACCTTCTCAGTGCAGATGATTCTAAAGATGTATCATCAAATGATTGGTATTTGTTTTTGCCCACATGCCTGTACAGCAACTCAATCTCAATATGTCCTAAAACAAGTCATTTTCTTTTCTAAGGTATCCCTTCCTGGTAGCTTCCCTGTTTGCAGAAGATGACATCATTCTAAAAATTTACTCCTGAAAACATTAACGTACATAGACTATATCCTTTTTCTCTACATTTCTTTTCAACCTTTTGACTTTTTTAGCCAATAACATTCTATCATATTTCTTGCATACTAATTCTCATAGATACTCTTTCATTTTCCCTACTACCCGTTAGATCAAGCCTTCATTCCCTCTTACATTGACCATTTAAAATCATCCAAGAAAGTTCACTTGAGTGTGTCCTATATACTGCTGCCAAAATATTCTCCTTAAGACCCTGTGGCCGGGCATGATGGCTCATGCCTGTAATTCCAGTACTTTGGGAGGGAGGTAAAGATGGGAGGGTCGCTACAGGCCAGGAGTTCAAGATCAGCCTGGCCAACATAGTGAGACCTTGTCTCAAATCTTTTTTCTAATTAAAAAACAATTATGTGTAATTCATCAATACATTTCATCATGAAAAAGAAATGAAATATTTAATAAAAAGCTGAAGGCTGTTGACCATCTCCAATCTAGTTCTCTACAAAGAGGGTCACAGTCAGTTATGCCATGTATGCCATTCCAGATCCATCCCTGTGCGCTTGTGTAGCTATACAAATAAGCAGCTGTGTACCTATACAAATAAGCGGCTGTGCACCTATACAAATAAGCGACTGTGCACCTATACAAATAAGCGGCTGTGCACCTATACAAATAAGCGGCTGTGCGCCTATACAAATAAGCGGCCGTCTACCTATACAATAAGCGGCTGTCTACCTATACAAATAAGCGGCTGTGCACCTATACAAATAAGCGGCTGTGCACCTATACAAATAAGCGGCTGTGCGCCTATACAAATAAGCGGCCGTCTAGCGGCTGTGCGCCTATACAAATAAGCGGCTGTGCACCTATACAAATAAGCGGCTGTGCGCCTATACAAATAAGCGGCTGTGCGCCTATACAAATAAGCGGCTGTGCACCTATACAAATAAGCGGCTGTGCGCCTATACAAATAAGCGGCTGTCTACCTATACAAATAAGCGGCTGTGCACCTATACAAATAAGCGGCTGTGCGCCTATACAAATAAGCGGCTGTGCTCCTATACAAATAAGCGGCTGTGCACCTATACAAATAAGCGGCCGTGCACCTATACAAATAAGCGGCCGTGCGCCTATACAAATAAGCGGCCGTGCACCTATACAAATAAGCGGCTGTGCGCCTATACAAATAAGCGGCCGTCTACCTATACAAATAAGCGGCTGTGCGCCTATACAAATAAGCGGCCGTCTACCTATACAAATAAGCGGCTGTGGGCCTATACAAATAAGCGGCTGTGCACCTATACAAATAAGCGGCCGTCTACCTATACAAATAAGCGGCCGTCTACCTATACAATAAGCGGCTGTCTGCCTATACAAATAAGCGGCTGTGCACCTATACAAATAAGCGGCCGTCTACCTATACAAATAAGCAGCTGTGTACCTATACAAATAAGCGGCTGTCTACCTATACAAATAAGCGGCTGTGCGCCTATACAAATAAGCGGCTGTGCGCCTATACAAATAAGCGGCTGTCTACCTATACAATAAGCGGCTGTCTGCCTATACAAATAAGCGGCTGTGCACCTATACAAATAAGCGGCTGTGCACCTATACAATAAGCAGCTGTGCACCTATACAAATAAGCGGCTGTGCGCCTATACAAATAAGCGGCTGTGCGCCTATACAAATAAGCGGCTGTGCGCCTATACAAATAAGCGGCTGTGCACCTATACAAATAAGCGGCTGTCTACCTATACAAATAAGCGGCTGTCTGCCTATACAAATAAGCGGCTGTGCACCTATACAAATAAGCGGCTGTCTACCTATACAAATAAGCGGCTGTGCGCCTATACAAATAAGCGGCTGTGCACCTATACAAATAAGCGGCTGTGCACCTATACAATAAGCAGCTGTGCACCTATACAAATAAGCAGCTGTGCACCTATACAAATAAGCAGCTGTGCACCTATGCAAATAAGTAGCTGGGCACCTATACAAATAAGCAGCTGTCTACCTATACAAATAAGTAGTTACATCATAAATGATGAATTAATACATATTTAGTTATAAGAATGCTGAATTCTAAGTTTAAAATCAATGTACACATGGATATGAAATACTCATAAGCAGTGTCATTATAATAACCATTTTGAGGACATAGATATTCTTAACAATAATGTTGTATTTTTGAGCATTTATTCTATCAGGGACTTTCTAAGTGCTTTAGGTAAGTTATTTAATTCTTACAACTTGTAACTGCCATTATGATCCTCTTCATAAAGATAAGGAACTAGACCCCTATCAAAGTTTGGTAATATACCTGAGGTCACACTTTCCAGCTAATAAGTGGAAGAGCTGGGATGCTGACCCATGGAGTTTGGCTCCAGGGCTTATATTCTTCATGCTTCATGCTGTTGTTCATGGGGACAGGAAACTGTTGACTGTGACTTTTTCTGCTCTGTCTTACAGTTTCTCCTTCATTGTGGTGAGCTCCATCCCTGAGCTCATTGCTGTCCATGTGCTCACATATTTCTGATGACTGCCTGGTAGTAGCTTTGATCTGACTATTCAGCTAAATTGAGAGGGACAGGAGACTGAAATTAAACAGCTACTTGATTATATTCATTCAACCCAGTAATATAAGCTCTGAATAGCCTTTAAAAAGTCAAATCCCTGAATAGACAACTAACAAGTTCTGATATTGAAGGCAGTAATTAATAGCCTATCAACCAAGAAAAGCCCAGATGGATTCACAGCCGAAGTCTATCAGAGGTATAAAGAGGATCTGGTACCATTCCTTCTGAAACTATTCCAAACAATAGAAAATGAGGGACTCCTCCTTAACTCATTGACAAGGCCAGCATTATCCTGATACCAAAACCTGGCAGAGACACAACAACAAAACAAAATTTCAAGCCAATATCCCTGATGAACATCAATGCAAAAATCCCCAATAATATACTGGAAAACCAAATCCAGCAGCACATCAAAAATCCTATCTACCACAATCAAGTCAGCTTCATCCCTGGGATGCAAGGCTGGTTCAACATATGAAAATC